GGAAGAGACTTTAGCTGCATGATTATGAGGGCATTCTTCCTACCATTATCTACAAAACTGTCGTCCACCTACTCACAAAAGAATGCGGACAATTCGCTGGCATAAGCGAACAATGCGATGAAGTTAGACTATTTTCACCTCCAACACTTCTCCACAACCTACTCATAATCCAAGCCTTTTTACGACTGAGGAGCCGAATCGAGAAACTGATTCTGGTACAGGATTGTGGATTTATGCAGATGAATAATGTCATGCAAAATCGTCACAACTGAATCCGTTGAATTCTTAAGCAAATAAGCCTCTTGATTCTACTAGACTCATATGCCTGTCGCTTTAAGGGACATTGATCAAATTTACTTTCCGAAATCTTAAAAACCTCGAAAGCCTGGGGTGCTTTTTTGAGTGTATGGTCAACTTGGTTACATCAACCGAATTTCTTCTCCCTGTGGGTTATTCAGCGTTTTCACCGAAGGTGTACCGGACGGCATCTCGGGACTCGATTGCTTCCTTGCCTATTTTTACTGCCTCCACCACCGAAGGCACCATCTTCACGATCCATCATAGCCCAACCACAGTTGGCCAAATAACCGAATGCCGGCAACGTGTGTCTTCTCTGTTCATGGGGCTCTTGAACCCCGGCAGATGCCTCCGCAGTTTAGACGAAGGGAAGCAAGCTTCGCGCACGTCGTCATGGGATGCCATGAGACATACAGTTTTGGGATAAAACTTCGAATATAACAGACCGAGCTGTCAATATGAAGAGTAATTGAGTGTTGATGAATCTCCTGGCATAACATTATTGTTGGAACTTTCATTTCCTATGAAAGTGTATGAAGATGAGATTCGAAACTCAGCCCGTTTTCACGTGCAAAGAGGGAGAATGTATCGTGGACGGCATCAATCTCAACGTACAGCAGGATTCAACCTTCTTCTTCTGGTAAGATTGACCTTCGAATCTCTTCTTCATACGCTTTCATACGAAATGAAAGTCCCAACAATGTCCGAGCTGTCCTTTGTCAGTAAATCAGACTATTGCTTCTTAGAGAACCTCGGTCATCCTAGGTCGCCAAACGTCATGACAATAGTTCCTCATACTAATTCGTTTCCTAAGATATGATACAAGTTGATTTTATTTTTATTGAATTTACTACACTTGCCAACAGACAAATAAACCTACTTATTTATGCTTACGCACACATGCGCACGTAGTTAGCCTGACTAGATCAATTAATAATCCCACTAACCTCGAATTTAGCTTAATTAGAGGGTTCCTTTTGCCATGTTGACACGAAGGTTGTCCAACTTTGTGAGCGTCTTCCGTGTGAAGAACTTTTTCAGAAATAAGAGGATGTAATGATGTAAGGTTGAACTCTTTGCATTGAAATGAGTAGAGGACCTCAGGATACCGAAAATTGTTCTCATTCGGACCTCTTTTCAAACTCGCCTAGTTCGCCCCTGCACCTAAACGGGATGCATTTCGTTATTAATAATTCAACAATCATTCATTAAATCACTTTTAATGGCATAAAATACCAAGATTATGATGTAATATCTACCGAAAGACTCGAAACCAATTCAGTATTAACATAGTTGCCTTACTCGAATATCGACATCTGTTGCATTAAATCATAACCACGGCCGTAAATAAAAGAATACGTGCAAATGAACTTCCTAGACCCGTGTATTCCAAAAGTGTCTGGCGCAATGAACTTAAGAGCATTTTATGTGAGAAAAATGAGTAAATGTCAACTAGGTGGAGATAGACGAGCCGAAGAATTGATAAATGACTAATGAAATTTATCCAACATAATGTCATAAGAT